TATATATATATATATATATATATATATAGTGTTTATACATATATGTATATGCATGTGTGTATTAGTGTTTGCGCAGACACCGGTATCTAAGAAAATGAATTTTCATTCAAATGAAATAACCTTATATTCTGCCTCTGCCTTGTGTCAGAACAACAGTCCTCCCAACACGAGGACACATCGCATCTCGATTCTATAGTCTGTCCAAATGATATATTGAAACTATTGATGAAAATGTATCATCGGCAGCATTAATGTCACTTTTAAGAGTATTCATGTTACCAATTATGATATTGTAATTATGATAATCAGCAAATCATTACAATGAGGACCATAAGCCATGTTTAATTTTACCAAGCTTATAAAAGATAGATATATAGATATATATATATATATATATATATATATATATATATATATATATATATACATATATATAGATAGATATATAGATATAGATATAAAGATAGATAGATAGATAGATAGATAGATATAAATATAAAGATATATATATATATTGTATGTATGAATACCTTTTTTCTTTTTTCTTTTTTCAAAATTTACCACCCACAAAAGGTAGAACGGGTTCCGCTGACGTCACCCGTTAGGAGAATTACTTTCTTTCAGTAAAATTGGGAAAGGGAAGGCTTTATTGAAGTGTTTCGTAGAAAAGGTGATACTTTTATGAACGACCCTGGATGAGAGAGTGTTAAACTGTGGCTGAAAGATCAGCCTTACTGGCGTCGACGGCTACTCCTGCGACTGCTGCAGACACCTCCCATCGCCGACGCTAGGAACTGGAGACACAATCCCCCAGGACCGTACCCTTAGCCGCCTGAGACATCCGCCGAAAACTGCCCGACGTCGACCCTCTGCAGGCGCGAAGCTCCCTTAATGACGCCCCTTCTTTTCCCTTTGTAAGGCTCGCCCCGACTCCTTGGCGTAGGCGCCTCGCACCTTGCGGAAAGGTGGTCGGTCTCAGTGACTACTCACCGGAGCTTGCCGAACGCGAAGAGAAAGGGTCAAAGAGGGCGCCGCAAAAAAGACCCGCGCCGACGTCGCACCTCCGCCACAAGGCCCGGCACAAGTCCCGGGAGGAAGACGATCAACAGCCCCATCGCACCGAAGAGGAGGCCGCAGCAGCAACAGGTCAGGGGTCCATCCCCACAGGTGAAGGCGGCTTTTCGGTGTGACCCGCCCCCCGGCGACCGCAGGAGACATCAAAGGATGTGGGAGAGGAGAAACGAACGTTGGCGACTCTCGTTGAACAGGTCCGAGGAACTGGCAAACGCCGTCGGAGTGGCAGCTCGCGCGGGACGGAGTAGAATTTTTGGAGAGGAGGGGGTTCTGGGAGAGATGTCGCTGCGGCCGCCGGAAGAAGAGTGTCTTTGGCTGTTTCTGCATTGTTCTTATACGTTGATAGTTTTTGCAGGATGGTAATCATATCGGAATAGTTTATTCATTATTTTCTAATACGTGGCATTATCGTAGTATATGTTTGCAAGGGTTAAAGGGTTTGTGCTTGCATGATGAGTGTGTGTGTGGCTATTCATGTATATGTGTGTGTGTGTGTGTTTAAGAGCGTGTCGGTTTTCGCAATAATCAAATGTGATAGTAAATTTGCCTTGAAATATATAGTACTGTAAATGGCTTCATTATAAATTTTCACTGCATTTTCTATTTTCCTAGTCCCTGACATTAACAATCATTTAATTATTATTATCATTATCATTTATTAGATTAGAAATAAATATCACTCATTTCCTTTAACAGTGACATAAGAGTAACACATCTTAATACGAATCCGTCTCTTGATTGCGTATTTCTTTTATTCAGTAGCTGTCTCCTTTCAGAAGTCTATCGTGCGACTTTCCTCCTTGCTGTCTCTGCCGTTGATTTCTGTTCAGGCGGCGGTTGTCTTTCCTTTTCTTGCATCTAAGTTTTCATTTGATTTTCTGGCGGGCGGGACGTGTGTGTGTGGACATTGTATTGTGTCTATACCATTTTGTTAATCCAACATATATGGACATATTACATTATTGAAATATTATGTTAAAATGGTGTCATGTAAGTGGCGACAACCTTAAATGCTCAAAAATATCACATAATATACTGTGTATCTTCATTTATTAGAGAAAAAACATAAAAGAAAACGTGTATTCTTTTATTACAGTGGAATAAAAAATACCAGCCATATATTGTTTTGTTCCACGAAACACAAAAGATGTATTCTTTACATATAATTACAAAGACATTCCACTACAAGCAAGAAATATTTTAGAATAATTTTTCATGTTTCTCGATTGGATAGATTGAGTCCAATCAATTTCTTTTTGCAACTTCTTTCCTGGATAATTAGGTTCCTCAGAAATTGAGCCATTAATGATTTATTGAAGTATCAACAATTTATTGTTAGCAGCCCATTGTACGTCACGTTCACAAATGTACACATGCGAAAGTGTACATCACATACTGAGAGAAGCAACAGCCTTCTCAGTGCTGGGAATTCACCGTTTCAAGCACTAATTAGGTACGCCGTAACTGGTGCTGAGGTGGCCGCTCCCGCCTTTGCTGTAAGAGAAAGGGAGAGCCGTCAAAGGTGAATAAGAAAATGAATCAAGCGGTGAATAAATTATCAAATCAATAAGTAAAAAACTTCATTAGTCACAAACAATGATTTCCCACTGAATGGCACGTATACTGGTTCTGCATATTTAAAAATGAGGAATTAAAAGACTAGTGAAAGGAGAAATCAAAACACACATTGCTCACGAAGGAAAAACTATGGAAAAAGAATATATAAAATATAGCTTACCTTGCGCCTGCTGAACCACCCAGGCCGCTGCCACTGCCGAAGGTGCTGCCACTGCTGCCACCAACTCCACTGCTGCTTCCGAAACCACCACTGCTGCCGCCAACGCCTCCACTACCACCAAGTCCACCAGTCGAGCCAAAGGTGCTGCCACCACCAAGGCTTCCACCGGATCCTCCAAGACCTCCATTAGAACCGAAAGTGCTGCCACCTCCAAGGCTTCCACCGCTGCCATGGCTGCCACCAACTCCGCTGCTGCTTCCGAAGCCACCACTGCTGCCACCAACTGCACTGCTGCCTCCGAAGCCACCACTGCTGCCACCAACTCCGCTGCTGCCTCCGAAGCCACCACTGCTGCCACCAACTCCACTACCACCGAGTCCACCAGTCGAGCCAAAAGTGCTGCCACCTCC